AATATTTGCCCTTTTCCAGTCTTCTGGAATCTCCCCTGTCTGCCATGATTTTTCAAAGATCATAGCTAAAGGCTCAGATACCTCCTCTATCAGCTCCTTGAGTATCCTGGGATGCATTTCATCAGGACCTGGTGACTTGCTGACATCTAACTTTCCTAAGTGATTTTTAACTTGTTCTTTGTGTATCCTATCTTCTAAACTTACCCTCTCTCTGCTTGTATTCACTACGTTAGGCACACCTCCAGACTTCTCGGTGAAGACCGAAACAAAGAAGTCATTGAGCATCTCCGCCATTTCCAAGTTCCCTGTTACTGCTTCTCCCTCCTCACTAAGCAGTGGGCCTACCCTGTCCTTGGTCTTCCTCTTGCTTTTAATGTATTTATAAAAGGTCTTCTTGTTTCCCTTTATGCCTGTAGCTAGTTTGATCTCATTTTGTGCCTTTGCTTTTCTAATCTTGCCCCTGCATTCCCGTGTTGCTTGCCTATATTCATCCTTTGTTAGTTGTCCTAGTTTCCATTTTTTATATGACTCCTTTTTTTTTTTTTTTTTTTAATGTAGTAAGATCCAGGTGGTTGTCCAAACCACAATAATGCTTTGCACCGGGAATAAACCTCAGAATAAACCTCTGAGAGGCTTGCCAGGCTTTGGGGACCAACAGTGAGTTTTGGGGATATGAGGAGATTGTAAAAGGACACCTTTTTTACCATGAAAGCAAAAAGACAGCACTTTTGTATTCATATAGGGGAGATTCAGCCATGTTGGCTGGAGACATTGGGAGACTGCATTAGATGAGAATAACTGGTATAGATAGTTTATATTGTAAAATTTGGACTCTCTGAGGCATTATAATTTTGTTTTATATATAAACTTTCTGTTTGGATTATTATCCTTGCTATATCTTAAATCTTAGCCTTTGATAACAAACTTATGATTGTTTTCACTATAAACATCTCTCAGTGCTGTGATGTTATTCAGGAATGATTCTCAGTTGACTCAAATAAGCTGGTGTGTACTCTGGAGGATAGCAACTGTGGTATTTCTGTGAGTAGCTAGTGATGGGGTTGGATATCACAGAAGAATGTTTCTAAAAAGCAACATGGTGACTAGGGTGCACTTAACCTGCAAAGCAAAGTGAGGGCTGGTAATTCCCTGAGGGTATGTCTACACTGCCATTTTTAAATCCCCGATGAAACTGTGACCTTGTGACATTTTCTCAAGGTATCCAGGATTGCAAGTCACAACCTACCTGCCTCCCAACAAGAGTGGTATTTGATGGTACTTAATAGCTCCTTATAATAACAGTCTCCTAGCTACCCAAACAAGCATCTCAGGGTATGTCTACACTACCCCGCTAGTTCGAACTAGCGGGGTAGTGTAGACATACCCTGAGATGCTTGTTTGGGTAGCTAGGAGACTGTTATTATAAGGAGCTATTAAGTACCATCAAATACCACTCTTGTTGGGAGGCAGGTAGGTTGTGACTTGCAATCCTGGATACCTTGAGAAAATGTCACAAGGTCACAGTTTCATTTGCAATATAGAATACAATAGAGAAAATTGTAGATGTAATTTTTTTTTTGAAAGAAAATGAAATATTAAAACCCTAGAGCTATTGGTTTCTAGAGTGGAATCAACCCTCTACAATAGGGAGCTATTATTAGGCAATGGAGGTGCTAAATGTTTTAATATTTAGTAGTTCACTGTTTCTTTCATGACTTTAATAGATAATAGTTTAGGTGCTACTTGTAACTAGTTAGAAAAAAGTATGATTCAGTTTTATGCTGTTTCTTACAGTAATTTAAAATCTTCAATCTTCTGATAAGAGGGAAGGTCCTTTCATAGACCAATAATTGGTTAAAATATAGGAAATGGAGAATAGGAGTAAATGAGCAGTTTTCACAGTGGAGATATCTATTGGGACTTATGCTGTTCAACATAATTTATAAACTATCTGGAAAAGAGGGTGAAAATGAGGTGGAAAAATTCACAGGTGGTACAAAATTACTAAAGATAGTTAAGTTCAAAATTGATTGCAAAATGGTACAAAGGGGTCTCACAAAAGTCAGATGACAAATGACAGATGAAACTCAGTGTTGATATGTGCAACATAATGTACATTGGAAAAAAATAATCCCAACTATAAATACAAATGATGGGTTCTAAATTAGTTTTACCACTCAGGGAAGAGATCTTGGAGTTATTGTAGGTAATTCCTTGAAAAATAGCCTTTCAGTGTGCAATGGCAATCCAAAAAATCCCCCCAAAAACCACACCCTTCTGGTATTAGGAGTTATTAGGAAAGGAATAGACATAAAATATCATAATGCCACTATATAAATCCATAGTATGCTTACACCTTGAATACTATGTATGGTTCTAGTCTCCCTATCTCAGAAAAGATATATTAAAGTTAGAAATGGTACTGAGAAGATCAGAGTGGTCCCATCCATTGGATTAGTGGTTTTTGATACCAGGGACTGGCAAACCTGTTCACAAAATTTTGGCGGACTGGTAATATTTTATTTGCATATTCATTAAACAAATAATGAATATTCAAATAAAATGTTACCGATCCGCCAAAAGCCCCAAGCTCCAGAGTCCCCCAGTTCCCGCCTTAACCCCTACAGGCCCCTCTACTACCCCTAAGCATAGCCACTGACCCCAGAGTCCTCCGCACCAGTGTTCCTTCTAAGCTGTGCAGTAGCACAGCTTCACAGGTGATTAATCAGCCCCACCTAGTCAGTCAGGTCCATGCATGGAGCCCTGATCCCCTGACTGGAGCTGATTAATCACCTGTGAAGCTGTGCTACCCCTCAGCTTAGAGGGAACGCTGTTCTGCACCCAACCCTCCCAGTGCCAGCCCCACATCCCTTAGAGCCCACCACCACCCCCAGTCCCCCCCCCCCCCCCCCCCCCCCCCCA